TCAATGTTGCAATTCCCTGAATGCTGATAAGAGGCCAACTGAAACCGTCATGTACCTTTAAGGATTTTGCTTGAAGCAATTTCATTGGAATTTGGTGCTGGGTTTGGAGAAAACCTGTCAGCTTCGATTTGTGAAAACAATCACTCTATCTATTGCACCACAGAGCCCTATCAGTTTTATCATCACCATTAGTGTTGTGACATGGTTTTGACACCACCTTAGTCATTTCTTGATCTGAGTCATTGCATTTTACATGCTCATCAAATGTTAACAGCGATGAAAATATGAACTATTGCCTTGACATAGAGAAGTGGCAGCGCACTGCATTTAAGACTGATGTTGTGAGCCGAGATGTCTTTTCCGGCCAGCAGTAGTTTATTTCATACATCACCGAGACAAGCACCATTTACCTGGACATTTACTGAGGCAGTTCAATTCAAGAGGGGTGCTCAAGGTCAGAACATTGGCATCGTTACCCAAGTAATGAGTCATTGTCCCCTCTGGTCATCTCTCTATACTACTACCCTACGACGTCATACCACCACCACAATGTCCACTATGTTTAACAGAGAGAGAGACACACACAGAGATAAAACAGAGTGAGGGGTAGAGACATAGAAATAAAAGTTATAGAGACAAGACAGGAGAAATAGAAGTAAAAGAGAGGAGAAGAGAAACGAGCATGAGAGAGTGACCGCAACGATATTGCTCCATCACAACTCCCCCTCTGGTCTCAGCATAGTTTGCATCATTATTTAACCATACAGGTCAGAGCTGCACACGGCTCACTGACTCTCTCTCTTACACACACCGAGTCCAGGCAGGATTGTACAGTTGATAAGTAATTTTGCATGTAGGCCATGATTCAAAGCATAACAGTGAGAAGATGATTATAACCGAGGATCCTCAGATGATGTTGTTGAAACAATAAATAAACTTTTCATTCTACCTATCTCTGTGTTTGTACGTATGTATGCGTGTGCGTGGATGTATGTCTCTCTCTCTCACGCGCACACACACAATGAAGAATGGCTGAGCTGACTTTGGGTCTGTATGTAAGTCTCAGTGGAGTGACCTCTCAGGCGGGGGCGTGAGAACCGCCACGAACAAAGAGCGGGGCTGTTACAGCGTGACAGAATTACAGAGTGACTCAAGACTCATGACTGCAAAAGTGCTAAAGCCCAACACGGCTGTACTGAACGCATGCCTTAGCAGCTCCACGCAGGTAAACTATACAGTGACAGCACCGGCTTCGATCATCCGCTCAGGTTGTGTAAAAGAGAGCGGGACCATTCGTCACCAACAGACCTAACATCTTTTGTGGATATAAATCCGCAGGTCCAGTGTGATAAGTATATTAATCTATATACAGCCTGAATTTTCTATACAAAGTTGCGTAACGTTCATCTTAGTCATTATTTGACAGCAACATTGACTCAGAAAGTGCAGGAACTGCCAGTGAAGTGAACCTAAAATATAAAATGTGAAAGATCGTTGAATAAATCACTACTTTTGACACAGCACGTGTTTTTATGCAAAGAGATATTCCTTGAAGGGATTCCTTGAAGAGACGTTACATAAGAAGTTGGCAATACTGACACAATATTAATGTAGATGCAGTGAATTAGGCTAAAAAAAAAAAAAAAAAAAAAAAAAAAAAAAAAAGGGAGGAAATAAAAAAAAAAAAAAAAAAAAAAAAAAAAAAAATCACAAGCAAGTGATCCAGACAGTATAATGCACTTCAGAAACTTGATATTTTCCTTTATAAACTACAGCCTCCCTTTGAGCACAATGAAAGCATCTGTAAAGCTGCAGCAGTTTGACTGTCATAATCCATATTTTGCAGGATTGGCATAACAAAATTAAGAGCCAGTATATGAAATAATCATAATTAATGCTCGACCTTCCTTTGCTTTGCTAAAACCTATAATCCAGATCGACTTAGTGGTATAATGACTTCACCATTCTCACACTCTCTCTGGATGGGGGTGCTCAATGTGTTGTATTATGACAACTTCATGTGGATGCAAAGTCACATGCACTTTAAGTCATGGGGTGGGCTTTTCTTTTGGAATGAAAAACGGGAAGTTTTTGCTGGGTTTTTCATGGAGTCATTGGGGAAGGTTGAGTGAGACGTGGCACGTTTTTTCAGCAATCCTCAGCTTTATTTTTCTTTACATATTCACACTTGGAGAGCTACCTGGGGTTTCTCAGTCACTTTCTTCAGATTTCATCATTTGGTCCAAGATTCGACACTGCAACACTCTGACGTGACACCGACTTCTCAACCCTTCAGGCTACCACCGGCCCATTAAGGGGGCAGATCATTAGTCTCCGTCTGTTTCGTGCTGGCCTGGTGTTTTCTTGTGTAGCGTCACTGATATGAACTTGATATATCGCCAGGCTACAAACAATAGCCTAAAAATAGAACCCAACTGATGATAATGCTCTATGATTGTGGTGTGTGTGTGTGTCTGTGTGTGTGTGTGTGTGTGTGTGTGTGTGTGTGTGTGTGTGTGTGTGTGTGTGTGTGTTTGTACCAAGTGTGTCTGTGTCAGTGAGTATGCATGAATGTGTGTATGGTTGTACATTTGCATGCACATATGAACATCTCTCTAAGTTGTCCAGCACATCCTCAGGGTCCTGGATGAGCAGAGTCAAGGAGTTCTTTTTGATTAAATATGATGTGTGGTTGTGTTCTTTACCAGCCTCTGTAGTTGTATTAACATAAGCCTTTCTCTAAAAAAAAATAAACAAATCACAAATATTACCTAAAAGTGTATATCTTAACTTTTGCTCCCTGATATATTCTAATGAACACCAAAGTATACACTATGACTGTCAACTAGACTGCGTCAACTGATGATGCAATTACAACAATTCCAATTATTTACATTTACACTTGAATCTGTATGACGACATTTTTGAACACTGATGGGCAGAGAAGACTCAGAAATATCGCGGCAACAAGCCGTTACACTGGATCAGCTTATCATTATCAGTTTTGGCAGATATCTTGCTTCCAACACATACAAAACAACTTGGCATCATCCTACTGGAGTCCTGCTTCGGAAATAAATATCTGTCTCTCTTTGCTTTGCCAAGGGTTCAACAAAGACTTCAACTTCACCAGTCACTCGTTTACTTTGGCTGTCTGCCATTACACTCGGAGCAGGTAGCGTACAACTGGCTTGCTGGAGCTTGTGGGCTGAGAGCAGCTGTCCACAGTTTTTTTTTATGAACCTACATTGTTTTGGTTTGTCAGACCAAAACAACGAGCTCCGAGTGGCTCACCTCTGTGCAGACGTGCAGACTCAGGTGATGATTATCTTAGAGAATAATGCAGCTTTAAATAGGTGTGTGGTATGAAAAGGAAATGGTAAGTTGTCAAAATGTAAGTTTTCATTTCATTGTGAATTTCAGGATTGTATAGTAACTGTACTCGAAGCCACAGTTTGGTTCCCACCCTATGTTGAAAACGTATGCAGTGAATGTGTAGTTTTAAAGCGTCCCTCACATGCCATGTGTCTGTATGGTACTTGACTCTGAGGCTAGCAGCTACAACACTGAGCAAAGGATCACAAAGAGAAGACGACTTCATGCACAACACATCTGCTGGTGAGAACAGTTGCTCACTGTTGAGTAAGACTGTTGTCTGTCTTTCTAAACCACTTACTGAAGGAATCTGAACTTCGCGTTCTATTTTGCCCCTCAACACTAACACTGTGATTAATCTCATCTCATTCATGTGCGCTACATGTCATGTTAGTGCTGTTTGTTTGTGCAGGCATTCCTCTTGATACAGTGCAAAGAAGTGGTAGGAAGAAAACCTTTCTTTGCAGGAGAAAAGTCCCTTCGGGAAGATTACACAAGCCTAGCCGATGATATCATCAAATCAGCGTGGACATAGAAAAAAGGAAGGGTGGGTGTAAGAAAGATGTGATTCAAACAAGGGGATGGAAAGGCTGTGTTTGAATGAGAGGGAATCTGCTTTAATGCTAGTGTAATGGCTATAGACAGCCTTAATCCCCCCCGATAGCTAGCTGGCTGGAGCTTTTTTTCTTCAAAGTTTCTAATGAAATCAACTCCTGTGGTGACTAGCACCCACACGGCAAAATTACAATCAATTAATCATTTTAATTATTGTAATTAATATACTAGCAGGAAGCAGGAATAGCAGTAAAACAATGGAAAAACAAAACCACAGCTAATAAATTAAATATCACACATAACAAGTGACAAGTGATGGTAAAATAATGGCTCAAGTAAGAGATAAAATAAGTTACAGATTAAAGAAGAAATTCATGTTCATAGCTCAGCGATATGGGGAGCAGGCTGAGCAGGGAGAGGTGCAGAACCTCTGTCCTTATAAATCACATACATTAACTCTGTGGTCAAGAGGAGGATGGCGGTGTCAAACTAGCCTGCAGGCATGGAGGGAAGCCCTATATGTGGAAAACTTCTGAAAACTGTTTATATGTCCATGTGGAGCATTTTCTCTGGATAGGCAGTTAATCACTGACTTGTAAATGTTTATTTAAGTCATATATTTTTGCCAGCAGTCATTATTCACTATAAGGATTTTGATGAGACCATTGATTAAGTTTTTAATTGATTATAACATTGCTTTGTTGTGGTAAAATATTCAAGGCCAGGGGACACACTGAGAGAGGGAAAAGCATTATAGCCAATAAATGGCAAATATTTCTTACAATATAAGTCGATTCCAGGTCATACATTTGCTGAATTGCTAAACTGTATACTACCTTATTTAAAAACGCATTCCTAGCATTTTCTCTCACCTTGTGGAATTCACATTAAGAATTATCTGCTCCACCATGACACTGCCAATACCTGGAACCCTCAGACTTAGCAAATGAAAGTTTCAAACTCCAGAAACCAGCAGCAGCAGGAAAACAAGAAGGGGTTAAAGAAAAGAGTGAGAGTAAAAGCAAGATGGAGGGGGAAACCGAGCGAGAAAAAAAAAAGACTTATCTTACCTTCAAGCACTGTAAGCTTGGCACTGGTGTTGATCTCGCCAGCACTGTTGGTGGCTGTGCACTCGTAAATGGCTTCATCTCTGTGTGTGCGCAGTGGCTGGATCCGCAGTACGGAGCCCGAACCATCATCAAACTCAATCACCTAGGAGAACCAGAGCACAGCAATGTTATTTTAGGGGCATCTTTTTCTTTTCCAAGGATATCACTTTATTGCAACATATATTCATATAATCCATTTCTACTCTCAGATTACGTAACATTTTCTTGATTTTTGTGTTTCTGATCTGAGAGATCAAAAACTTGCCTTGTCCTGCTGCAAAATGTAATTTTTCAGAAGTAGATATAAGCCTGTTGTCCTCACTAAAAGTGGCTAATCAAATATTTTTTTTCCAAAAACTCCGCTTAAATACAATCCAGACATTTAGAGCAAATGATCATTTGAAATCAAATCTAAAAACACTGATACACAGTGGAACCACGAGGATCATATCAAGGAATACCGACCAAGGGAATAAACCAACAGCCCCCCTCCCTCCAGCCACCATGGCTACATTATGTTACAGAGGACACACTGATCAGAAACAGTGTGAATTCCCACCTAATGCTCTTCCTTCTGTTCATAAGGTTCAAGAGAAGGAGGGGAAATACATCAAGGTGATATATGGCCAGAGATGGTGGAGCTGAGGAACAGGAGGGGAAGGATGCGGGTGTGAAAAGACTGGGAGAGATGAAGCGGTCTGTATAAATCAAGATGGAAGGAGATTAAAGAGAAGGGAAGCCTGTCTGGTCTTGCATGGAGAAGGGAAGAGTTGGTGTGATATTCAATAACAGGGCATTTGATTGTGTGAGCTGCGAGAGAGTATACTTTGTGTAAATGTTGCTAATGGGTGTGCATGTGCGGATGAGTGCTTAATGAGAGGGGGTTACAGCGGCAGTCTAAAGCCCACGCCTGTAATGTTTTGTCACATGAGTTGTGTTTGCGTCTGCGTCTATTTATGTGTGTACATGTGGGTGTGTATGGGAGTGTTCAGAGATCTGAAAGTCACACGTGAGTGCTCACCTCAAAGCGCTGGGAGCTGACTTTCTTGCCTTTCTTCATCCAGGTGATTCTGGGTTTGGGCTCCCCGGTGGCCTGGCACACAAATGATGCAACTCCGCCCGAGATACCCGTCTGGTCCTCTGGGGATTTGACGAAACTTGGCAAGCCTGAGGAGGTGGGAGTGAAAATGGGGGGAGGGGGGTTAAAAAAAGAGGGAGGGGAAGAAGTCAGTGTCAGGGAAAGAGTCAAGGGAGAGTTAAAGGTGATGCTAGTGCCTGTACTATTCACGTCAGCATGTAAAATTTGGTTATCTATGAGCATCACTTTCTCCACACAAAGGCGACAGTGGAAAAACACACACAGGTGTTATTGTTCCACACACCTTCAGCTCAGACACGAGAGAAACATGTCGTCTTTGTGTGCCTGCCTGTCACTGTTTATGCTGAATTTCTTGTCTTTGCTTTGACACACCATTTGGAACAGGGCAAAGTCAGTCAACAGACAATGAAGTTGCAATTATATCTAATGAACATGAGGGACTGTATCAAACCCAATAGAAACAAGGAAATAATCAGATGAACTCCCACTCTTCCCCAAAATGTCTACAAGATGAGAAATCAATGAAAAGCAAGATGCTGGTAAATTAGAAACTTTGGGAGTTAATTAGTTATTTAGCATTCAAACGGCAATTTTTGGCTTATGGGGCATTAACTGGTTGGCATGTCCTAAAATCCAAACAAGGCTTCTCCTGTGTTTTGATTCAGAAATCTCGTGTGTCCCTCTCTCCAATGTCTGTTACAACAACACAGTGGACTACCTTGGAAAACACCTCTAACCGTGGCTCCCGTGTTTGCCTTCAGGGTGTTTTTACCGAACACCACACCCAACATCATTGTTCGTAGGACAATGGCGTGCGTGTTTCAGTGACAGCCCGTCTAAGCTGACATGATGCTACAATGAGCACACCTTTGCACCACGCTATGTCTGCCATGCTTTATGCTTTATGCTTTATGCTTCATTTACAGTCTCAAATGTGAATAATACAAGTCTGGCTTCGACAACGCTACTCACTGTCCTTATTACCAGCTCTGTCAGCTTGTGTTTCATCTCCAGAGTCATTAAAGAGGGAGGTGGGGAACACCTAAACCGCAGTGGTGACGAACAGACCGCCCCGTGGAGACGCACACAACCGGGTGAATCATTATGCTGTGTACACAGAGGAGATGCCAGCCTTCCCTCACTGAGCACACACTGGGGAAAATTCAGCGATGGCTGCCACCATTCTTTTCTTTTTTATGTGTTCTAATATAACGCTGCTGGGAGGACGTGGGGTGTGGGGTGTGTGTGTGTGGGGGGGGGGGGGTCATGATCTAGTTAGAATAACATGGTATGAGGTTCTGATGTGGATGAGACCTTTAGTGGGCACATTCTCCAGCTCTACCTGTTATATCACCCCCCTCTGCCCTCACTTGGCTGTGGAAAGAGAGGGGGTACTGGCTGTCCTTGCTCTAGGACATCGCTGCTGATGCTCTTCAAGCAATACAGCAGTGCACAATAAAAGGATGCAGGCAGTGAGGTGTGTGTGCATACATAACACTTTGATGTCAGATGCTTGTATGCATTCAAATGCAACTGGTCGGACAGACAGAGGTACTAACAGAGATATGTGGCTCCCGAAGAGAAGCTTACTGTTCAAGCAGAGCAATTCATGAAATAATGATAATAATTCCTTTAGATCTTTTTCCACATTTGCACATTAACATAAATACACAGTAATTTTTTGGCAGTTGTCTTATTACTTAAAACAAATTAACTGTTAAGTCATGTATCAGGCAAGGTTTGGTGTCACAAGTGATTTAAAATGACAAGGATGCGATGAGAGATACCATCTCTTCACAGCTTTTAGAAGTAAAATGCAAATATCCATATGATATTATTTATCTTCTTAAAATAATCTGCTTTATGAGTAGGTCACCGTCAAATAACTGTCAAATTAGCAAAACAGATTAAAGCTAATATGGTCCTTTAAAACCAATCATCGTAAACTCACTATGACAAACAAAATTACTATCAAATCCACAGCAGTTTACATAACGGTGATAAGTTGAAGTGTACTGTAGAGCAGTGTAGTGTGTGAGTGGGCAGTTGTGCGTACTTGGTGATGCACAGTAATCCAACACATCCATCCAGCCATCTGTGACCTGTGGCCCCTTCATAGTACCTAATCCCACCTGACATATGAATGATATTTCCCTCCTGGTTCTCTCAGAGACAAGATTTAAACTGCAAAAGCACAGGGATAAATCCTTTTCTACAGCAACAGAATGTGACTGTGGCACACATGCAGGTAGCAGCTAATGATTCAAACCTGATAAGCTCTTAAGAGTGTGTGCCTGAGCATGCATCAGTGCGTGCATGGGTGGTGAGCTGGAATCCTCAAGACCTGATTATCACCGCTCTGACTTCCAAGAGTTGCTGCTAACATCTGTCCATAGCAGTTGCATTTAAGTTGATGTGAGGGGCTTTTCACCGCGTTGCTCAGAGGGAGGATCAGGCAGCATTAAACAGTTCTCGGCACATGCTTCAAATTAAAGGATGTAAGCGCATGTACTGCCACAAACATTTAAGTGAGGACCCACTGGATGTTAGAAATCAAGGATTTTTGGGGATAAGTGGAGGAAAAGGGTGAACTGGCCCTGGCTGAGCTTTTCCCGTATTAATCCTCTTAAACAAGCTTCCCCTGAATTTCGATAGTTGACCTATGACTCTAAAGCGAAACTATGACAAATTCTGAGCTGTCCATTGTTAATCCAGAACTCGCCAAGCATTCAATCACAAAATCTCAAAAAGGTCTGTGGTGACCCCAAACCCCTGACTTATGGACAGGGTTAATAGTGGTCCTAATACACTCCAACGAAAGGGCAGAAGCATTTACTTTTGGGCTGATATTCTGTAGAGTTCCTCCATCACTGTGCCACTACTGGCGGGTACGGATATTGAACTGTTCGGTTTGTCAGTTCTTTTCTTAGAGAGACAAAATCCAGACTCTGCCCTTTTTTTCTCTGCTTGTGTCCCATTTTCCTGGCTGTCAGGCAGTTGTCACATGAAAACAATGGCGGGGACGAGGTGGAAAACACATAAGCCTACCTATGCAAATCCTTCTCTCTCTCTGTGACTGCAAGCTTTCAGCAGCACTCTTTCTAAGCTTTGATACATCACATTCAAAACTCATATCTTGACACACAAAGGTTTAACGCATACTCTCTTCTCGCTGGCAATGTGTGGAAAGTGCTGCCATAACTGTCAGGCCCGGTATTGGTTGCAAGGTGCCAGGGTTTCGGGGTTGAGGTTATCGACTCATGAATACCTCACATTTATGACATTAATTTATTCACACTAACCAGATCCAGGCATTGCTCTACTTCCAACGACTATCATGTAAACAACCTAAACTGGGTTATCTTAGTCAAAATGAAAGCTGATAAACATGTCTGGATTACAAGTCAATCACTCAAACTACTGGTCTAACTTCCCAAATGAATACACCCGAAAGATCAAAAAGTGACCTACATGCAAAACAGTGCTGTTGTACACAAACAACAGCATGGGTAGTGGTGGAGAAGGATAACAAATAAAAAAAAAAGTTAGTTTTTTTTTTGTTACTAGAGCAAAAAGGCTTTCATGTTACAACTAATGAATGGAATAAATGAATTAATCAAAGCAAAAAACAATAAACACCAGTGAAAACCCTAAATTTTTCTTCTCTTAATTTGTGGGACTAATAAGGTGTTTCTTGTACGCCACACAGCCTGACAGAATCTGATTATCAAACAAATCACAGGGTTATTAGGGAAATTAATGCAAACCCTTTTAACGCCTAATGTTCAAAATCTTAATACAAAGTGCTCAGTTAATGTAGCAGTAGTTGTCAGAGGTAATTCATAGTATTTAGCATTTATGCTGTAGTGTGTACATGAAGCAGACGTACTCTCACTTAAAATCACAACTATGCATATGTGTGACCTGCTGAGGTGCGGTTTAAATTTGACCCAGAGGACAGGCTATTGACAAATCTGCATAGATTCTGGTTGAGACAGCGCTGAGGGAGCCTAGAGGCTGCTGATTGCACTGTGTGTGGGGGGATTAAACAGCTTCTCTCAGTTAACCCAATGCCTTCAGCAGTATCTGTGGGGTCTGAGGTCATTAGAGAGATGAAAGACACGGGGGTTCCCAAACTCCAGTGTTGCCACAGGTGTTTCATTCTTCACTAGACAGATCTCAAGGGAAGGGTGATCAGGAACAATAAACTAATGAATGCGGGTCATATTTTAGGACAAGAGCAGAGGTCAGCTTTTAATAGACTAATAGTGTGTTTACCAAAATAAATATATATAGTATATATATATATATATATATTTTGCACCCGACATACAATATCTTTCCTAAGCAGCTATACAGTATTCCATTGTCCCTTGTCGAGGGCCTCAGAGCAAAGCTTGTAATGAATGCAGAGACAGCAGGGAGAGTCATGCAAATGGCTCTTGTGTGGCTAACAATTAGTGTATTCCCAAGCCTGCCAGAATGCCCAGTGAGAGGTACTCTGTAGTGTAGAGTATCAGGGATCGATACACACGCGGCAGAGAGAAAACCATTAATTCTTATTAATAATGGATTAGCAAGTTATCATTTTCATGAGGCAACACTTAGTGGGAATTTGTCTGATGGCATCAGCACTGGTTGTTTTAATGGAACACTTCCATTAAGGCCTTTTCAGGCCATTAGCAGGCAACTTGTTTGCAATTAATTCGATATAAAGCTGCCTCCCCTGTAAGTTATTTACCCCGGAAAAGTCAACTGCACTTCAGGCTGTTTGTTTAAACCAATAAACATCATGTTTGCTATCTGCACTTCTGTTTTACAGCTCAACACCAAGGAGCATTGTGTTATTTGTTTTCCAAATGACACATGTACATTGCACATGTTACAATTTATTTGAAGGGACCCCGGGATTGAATAATATGAAAGAGTGTCTCCCATAATCATCTCGATGTATTTCAGGTCAAGATGATTTATTTCTATTACCCAGTTTTTAAATTTCAATCTCTCACATCTGTCAAACTGAGATCACATTCTAAGGAGCTATGAAGAGCAATGCAGTTGTCATTGC